GGGGGGGGGGGGGCAGGTGCTGGGTAGAGGGGATTGATGGGGAAAGAAAGGGGGTCTTCTGTAATACTTTCAACAATAAAGATAAATTTTTTTAAAAGGTAGATCTTCAATAGGTCTGGGGTGGGACCTAAGATTCTAAATTTCTAACAAGTTCCCAGATAATAGTGATACTGCTGGCCTGGGGATCATGATTTGAGTAGGCTTAGAATGGGAACTCTGGGGTCACAATGCTTGTGTCTGGATCCCAGGTCAATTATTTATTAGTTTTGTAACATTCTCTTCATGTGCCTCCATAGCATTTGTGAAACAGTGAGATCATTAAAGGGTTATTATGGGGAATTGCATGAGGTAATCCGTGGGTAGTACCTAAAACAGTCACTGGCTTGTAGAAAGTACTCAATACTTTCTATAATCTGTTAATATTATGAAAAACTATTAAAAGCATATATTGTACCCCATTAGAAAGCCATTTATAGAATTGACTGATGTAGTAGGAACACTAAATAAAATTTCATCATCCTTTGCTAGGCAGACACTAGAACATCACCATTCATTGAAGGACATTAAATACATAAGTTAGACTCACTACCCAGCTTTATTAAATACATAAATCTGAAACTGTTCTAAATGAATTTGCAAGAGTTGGCTTGGCCTATAATATTTAAGGAGAATATTTATTTTCTGTGTCAGAAAACTTTTTAAAATTGCAGGTATACACTGAGTTACAATTCATTTATTTGAATAGCTTCCTTTGAATTTAGAAAGCTTCCTCTGAATTTTTGTTTAAAAAAAATTATTTTTATCAAATAAAAGTCAGAATTTTTATTAGTTCAAACAATAATAATGATTTTAAAAAACTGTTCAAACAAGGGCACTAGTATAGGTTAAAGGAGTTTGGAGAACTTAACTAAAACCTTCACACACAACTGTATACATCTTCAAACCACGACATAATGCACCATGATTACTTTACCTCTCATTGTTGAAGATTGGGGCTTATAAAGAATATTACTTGTTAGAATTGTGATGACTTAATAATGATGTGATATGGGGGCACCCAGGGGGCAGGAAAAGTAAAGTTAGGATCTGAAATGAAGATAAAATTCCACAGCATCATCCCAAATGAAAACTATTAGAAATTTCTTCAAGTCAACGCTGCTTGAAATATATATATATCTGTACATATATGTAAGAAAGAGGTAAGAGATGAAGTACACCAGAGAAGAAAGGTCAATGCTCGCTGAGTCACTGATAAACGAGGAACGATAAAATCTGGTGGCTCAGTCAAGGAGGAGATGAGAGCTATGGAGGTATTTCCGGTTGGTCAGTGTTTCATGAGTCAGCAGGAAAAGATCAATAAACAATTTGCTTCTCTTTCCATGTTTTATTTCTCTAACACAGGTACTGAAAAGGAAAACTGTGGGACAAATTCTAATACGTCTATTCTAAATTAAAACTAGATTCAGCATAGGCAATGCAGACCTGCCCTGGCAGATCATGACAGATAAGAAAAGAAAAAAAAAGAGAGAGGAGTTTGGGTAAGTAGATCATTCTCTCCCTCCTCTCTCCCATTTCTTTCTTACCCTGCAGAAAGCTCCTGGCTGTTCCTTTTCTAGTCTGGTGTGGTACTGGAAAAAATTTTAACAGAAGTAACAAGTGTTACTTTAGAAAGCAAGATTTTATTTTCAAAACTCTGCATAATAATGCTTTATAATAAGGACTGCCATATGAATTTTTTTAAAAATATGTCTTTATTGATTTTCAGAGAGAAGAAGGGAGGAGAGAGATAGAAACATCAATGATGAGAGAGTCATTGATTGGCTGCCTCCTGCATGTATGTCCCCTGCTGGATTGAGCCCGCAACCTGGGCATGTGCCCTGACTGGGAATGAAATTGCTATCTCCTGGATCCTAGGTTGATCGATACTCAACCACTGAGCCACGCCAGGTGGGCTGCCATATGAAATTTTTAAGGCAGGGTTTACCTACACTCCACTACCCCAAATAAGAATTCTTCCAATAAAATAATTATCAGGTTTCACTTGTATTTTAGTGAAAAAAATATCAATTGTGATTCTTAACATCTACAGAGGTGATAACCACAAAGATCAAATGGTTAGCATTAATGGTACAGGAACAAGAGATTATGGACAGAATCATACCAACATCATGTCTTGTTATTTGGGTTTATATTAGTCTGAATAGAATTCCTGAAAAACATAAGTTCACTGAAATGCCTGAGCTAACTTTTTCCACTTATAAGGCAGGTATTAGCTGTCTCTTAACACCAGAGATGCAAGGAGTTCCACTTCACTGTGACCTACTTATGCCTCTTAGATTTATCATACACATTTTTAATGACCCCGAACCAAAGGAAATATAGGAAACTATTTGAAAAGCTGACATTAAGGTTGTGACACCAACCAAAACAACAAGAAAACTTAAACTGACACACAATCCCCAAATCAGCCTGTCACACCCCTAATTTAAAAAACAGTTACTATGTGAAACAGTAATGGCATGTCAGCCTCTGCTTTGTAACCCCTGAATTTTGTCATTTGGTGTTTGTGTCACAACCTTAATATTATTTAAATATACTTTTTAATATCTATTATTTAAAAAATATCTTCCAGTTGAAGATAGTCATAAAGCTTTGAAGAAGCCACCCTCAAAGCCCTGCAGCCCCAGTGTGCCACTTTTATTAGAAGTGGTGCATAAAACATTTGCTGTTGACAAAGCTAATTCATTACAAGGTGAGATGGATGCATTTTAAAATAACTGGCTGGCATCGTTATCTGCAGCGCCTTTTATAAATTATTCCTCTTTTCCCTTTTGACTGAACTTGTCACAGTTCCTTTTCAGAATCTGAGTGTTATGCCTTATAGTCAATGCTTTCAACATGTTTAGACAAGTCATAAGTTAAACAAGCAGTGGTACTTTATTTTCTAGAAATGAGAAAGTGTTGCAGAAATAGTTACAGATTATTTCATTCAATTCACTGATTTTTAACTAACGACAAGCAAAGTCAGTTAGTGGTGGTTTCATCTCATACAAAGGATTTAAAAATAAAACTATACTGCTTCGGTAGAAGAAAGAATTTCAAAGAAAGAGACATAAAGAGAGATGCTGGCAGAGATGCTGTGCTGTTGCACAGACTTGGTTTAAAATTGAATTGTTCTTCCCCTGACATGGGAGATCAGGTACATCATAAGGCTGACAGCTGGCTGGCACATGAACTTCCTGAAGGAAAATGTGAACTGTATTTTCTCTTAGAGGCCAAAGGAACAGAATTATAGAAGCCTTCAAGGAAATGAAGTAGGCAGAACATGGATGAAAATATGACGAAAAGCATTTCTTACCTAATTTTGTTTCAGAAGATGCTAAGAATGAGTTCGTCTTCTAATCCCAAGTAGGTGGAAATTTATTTCCTTCTGACTTGTTGGTAAAAGAGCTTCCCTTTCTTTAGGATCTTCAGCAGTTTTTTCCAAAGTATAAAAAACACACCTATAAATTAATTAGATAAAACTTTATCATTGCCACAATGGAGGGGGCATGGTCACAACATTAGTTCTCCAGCTGGCAGTGACAGTACTATCATTAGGTTATGACACAGGCTTGAGCCAAGAGATGCTGAAGATGCATAAGGACATGCTGAAGTTAGAGTACCTAAGAAAAGCTTATTAAAAAGATGATCTACAGCTTACAAGCACAGGGATAGCAGAGGCTCCTAGGAAAATGCATATTCAAAACATTCCTTTTATTTTCAATGATTTTTCAAATGTTCCTAAAGAAATGTAGATCACAGAGAGTAAGGGATGGTTGCAGCACGTAAAGCAAGCAGTGCCTTTCAATACAATTGCTTTTTTCCTGTTTAGTTACCAGTTCTTCCATAACAGTTTATTAAAACCATTTTTTCTTCACTCTTCTGGGTTATCTTGTTAAAACAGATTCTGATTCAACTGATCTGGGGCTGGGGCCTGAGATTCTGTATTTCTAACAAGCTCCCAGGTAATGCCACCAATGCTGTGGGTAGGTCCACAGAATACACTTTCACTACTAAGGTTCTACCAGTCTGTCTTTCCCTGCACCAAAGTACGCTGTTGTTAATTCTTAGCTATTGGCCCTTTATCTTTCCTTGTAATTTTAGACTCTTTCATCTAGTATTTTCTCTTTCCCATCAAAAGAGACAGGAATTTGATTGATATTGCATTGATCAAATGAGGCAAAATGTTGAGTATTCCATCATGTGTATTGTACATATCACTCTACCTATTGAGGTACAATTGTCACATGGTAATGCTTCCCCATTTCCCATGGGAGTTTTGCACATCTCTTGTTATGTTAGATATATTCCTAGGCACATCATATTTTGAGTTAGTTTAAATAATATCTCTTTACAAAGCTTTTTCCATTTTTGTTTATATATGTATCTATATAATTTTTCTATATTGATGTTTTTATCCAGGATATTTACTAAACTCTATATTTCTGTAGTTTTACATCATGTACAAATAATGAGTTTTACTTTTTCATTCCAAAATCTATACTTATTTCTTTATCTTGCCCTACTAAAAGAAAAAAAATAAGCAATAAATGGACTTTTTAATAGAAAATACTGTTTTGTTGTCTATAATCATCCAAACTGATCTTTTGGTTAGGCCTAGGTTGACTAGAAAACTGATATGAAGAGGGTTCCCAGTGTTTCTTTTGATATTTTTTAATTGTCCTCATACTTTTGGCCTTTCTTTGGTGTTTGACATACAAGTGCTTTAATGTTACTAACATCTACTATCCCAAGCTGATTTCCAGTTTATATTTCATCAGAAACAGACAAAAACCCTCATGGGCAACTTGACCACTCTGGGAAGTAAATCTGAACAAAAGGGGAAACAGAGGAATTTTTACAAGGGATGTGGTTCGCTTCTACAGAAGAACTAAAGTGGAGATGCCATTGCTGGGAAGCCATTATAGGGATACAACACATCACCTAACTTCACAGCTGAAATCACATGATTTCTTGGAAACTCCATAAATACATAAAATTACTTTCTTAATGACAATGTCAGCCTACTCTAGGGTGAATTGTCCTTCTGACCTAAGGCAAAAATTAACACTTACTGTTCCACAAACTGTCAGTGTTGTTAACATTGGTTACCTGAGGAAAGGTAAATGTATGTGATTGGTGGGTGGGATGGAGGAAAGGGTAAAGAAAGAGAAGGAGGCAGTAACTAAAATAATAACCGTTATAATAATAATAAAAACACAACAAACTGTTTCATTAAAAATCTGTTCATAATCGACTATGAACAATAATTATGAAGTACAGCAATGCAGAACATGCTAAAATGGAGAAGTGAAAACAGCACCATTTAAATGGTGCATTGCAACCATTTAAAAATATGTGCACAAAATTTTGGTTAAGAAGATAAATCAGTGTGTATTTTTCCTCATCTCCTCCCAGATATCCCCTTAAAAAGATAATACAGGTATGTGTTGGGGGTGGGGAGAGAGGATGTAAATTCATAACTGTGAAGAAACTGAGTGAGCCCTCCCTACAAATTTGTACATGGTAAGACAGATGAATGAACATTTACAGGAGAAACAGAGCAGGAAAAGCCAAATTATAAAATGTGTGCAGGGAGCACTGCAATTAAAGGAATGACTTGATATCCCTGGCAGAGTGTGGAGTAAGGAGTGACATTAAAATATGCAATTAATTAAAGATTTGTCAAGAAACACTGAATCTCCCTCCCCTATCTTTGTGTCTAAGCAACTACTTTTTGTTTTCAGTTAAATACATGACTCTGAGTATGGGGGGGAAAAAGTAAATAGGAGAAGTTTTATGTTTGAGGAAATGAACTGCCTAGAAAAGTAGAAAACATAGTATAAATATGGGTACCCCAAAAATAAGTTGGACTACATCTGGCCCTTAGCAGACTTCCATTATACTCATGGCTCTCCACCTATTCACTTTAAAGCAGGCCATGCACAACAAATTGGTGCCATACAAATATAAATTCCAGGCAGATTTTTTTTGTCTCTTTTCTAATATGAATGCATAGCCAAGGACCACTGGGCATTTGAAGAAAATATATTTTTTTCACATTTGACATCAATGTAAAATAAAAATTTACCCCAAAGAAAAGAGATAAATCAGTTAATAGAACATGTAAATTTCCCATCATCCTAAGAGAGTAAATACAAAAAAATGTATACATAGTACAAGACCAGAAACAGGACTTCCAGCTATGGCTGAGTGGGATCAGCAAATACTCTTCCAAAGAAGAAACTAAAGAGCTAGTCAAAATTGATAAGTGCAGCAATTCCAGTGCTCTAGAAATTGACCAAAGGAATATAACAATTTGAGAAACATTAATATTTGAAAAACTGCTAATCTTTAGGTAAGAACACTAGGACCCAGTGGTGTTCTGGCCTGGGGCTACTTTTATTTTCACCATCAACCACAGCTCAGACAGAACCAAGGCCCTTCCAGGCTGGAGAAGATCACAGAACTGGAAATGTCTCTGCTGTGGTCAAAGGGGGCTCACTTGAGTTTGAGTGGTAGGTGATGTCTAAACCCAGCACTGTCTCAGTGGAAGTTATGATCTTAGAAGCAAGCAAGCAGGGAGAGCCACACAGCTTTGTTAGCTGAAGGACACAGTCATAATTGTGGCAAGCATATTCTTGGCTAAGCCCGAGTATGTGCATTGGAGACTGATGAGGAACAAAGCTAGCACGGATTGCTGAGGCTGCACAACCACGTGCACAGAGGACATGTGAAAGAGCCCGGCAGAAAGCAAAAGCCAGGACACAACTGAAAACAGTGTAAACTTTTTTTTTTAAAATATATCTTTATTGATTTCAGAGAGAGGAAGGGAGAGAAAGAGAGGGAGATAGAAACATCAATGATGAGAGAGTGCTCATTAATCGGCTGCCTCCTGCACGCCCCCGACCAGGAATCGAACCGCGATCTCCTGGAACCAAGGTCGACACTCAATCACACAGTCATGCCCAGCCGGGCGAAAACAGCGTAAACTTTAAATGCATTCCTCTATTACAGATATCCATGAAGAGATGAGAGACCGTTTACTTACTTGAAGTGTTTAATCACAACCACTGCCCAACCATCGGTTTATTATTTAAGCTACACAGACACAGAAGCAAGTCCTAGGAAGCCAAATGTAAAACTCAAAACAAGAATCTTAAAAAAAAAAAGTTACAAACCCCCCCGCCATACATCAGTGGCCATATATCACAGGGGAAACTGATGCTACTGATTAAATTTAGGCAAATTACTAAATTACTAAACAAAGAAACCGGCAAACAAAGCAACAACTAAAACATTCAGGGATTGCAAAATCAGAATCTAGAGTTGCTATGATATATGATCTAAAATGTCTAGTTTTCAACAAAAAATTATGAGGCATGCAAAGAAATAGGGAAAAGCAATCAATAGCAACTTTTGAGTGTCCTTAGAAGCTGGATTTAAACAGGCTTCAAAGCAGCTACTATAAATAAGTTTAAAGAACCAAAGATGACCATATTTGAAAAATAAAAGGAAAGTAAGACAATGAATAAAAAATAAATATTCTCAATAAGGAGACATGCATTTTTGAACAAAATGGAAATGTTGAATTTGAAAAGTCCAAAATATGTAAAGACAATTCATTAGAGGGACTTGAGAGCAGATTCAACATGACCTGTAGAAAGAACTGGTGAATTAAAAATAGTTAATATAAACAACTCATTCTGAAAAAACAGAAAAAAAGAATTAAAAAAAAAAAATGAGCAAAGACTCAGAGACATTGGGGACAATCATAATCATATCAAAAAACATATTAATAATATCCCAGGAAAAGAGGAGACAGATTAAAAGAGCAGAAAAAATATATGAATAAGGGATAAAAACATACCAAATTAGATGAAAAGTATTAATCTACTCATCAAAGAAGTTCAAAGGACCCCAGTAGGGCAAATATAAACAGATAGACATCTAGACATAACATACTCAAACTATTAAAGGACAAAGACAAAGACACTAAAAGCAGCAAGAGAAAGCTAACTCATCACATACAGCTAAGCATCAATGAAACAATCGAGGTCAGAAGTCAGTAGAATGAGAAATTCAAAGTGCTTGAAAGAAAAACATTGTCCACCAACTATTCCATATCAAGAATAACTATACTTAAAATTGAAGGCAAAATAAAGCCATCACTTTTAAAACTGAAGACAAAATAAAAATTGAGAATTTGATGCTGGTAGACCTGTCTTAAATAGTAAAGAAAATTCTTCAAACTATAAGACTAAGTGGAATTTATCCCTGGAATATAAGGTTGAATGAACATAGGAAAATGAATCAATGTAGTACATTTTATTAATATAATCAAGGACAAAACCTACATGATAATCTATGCAGAGAAAAATGTGTTAAAATCCAATACCATTATGATAAAAACACTCAACAAACTAGGAATAAAAGGAAACTTCATCAACCCAATAAAGGATATCTATAAAAAACCCACAGCTGGCTTAATACTTAATGGTAAAAGACTGAAAGCTTTCCCTTTAAGATCAGGAACAAGACAAGAATGCCCATTATTAGCACTTCTACTAAACATTGTATTGGAAGTTCTAGCCAGGACAATTAGGCAAGAAAAGTAAATAAAAGGCGTAGAAAGTGTCAATCTTCCTGACTTAAAAAAATGCAAATTGAGACCACATGAGATACAACTTCGCAGCTCACGAGAACCACTATAAACAAAATATAAACGATAAGTGTTGGGAAGGAAGTGGAGAAAATGAAACCCCATTCACTGCTAAACGGGAATGTAAAGGTGTCTTCCCTGCC